GGCGCTGTCGCTCACCGGCCCATGCCAGGCCCCCGGGCCCCGCGAAGGAGGCGGGACCGTCCTCGGCAGGACAGGTAAGAGGCCGTCTGGGGGCGCATCGGGAGCGCAGAGCCAGGCGCTGAACCGGGATTGAGCTGGGGCCCCTCTCAGGGATGCGGGCTCTGCCAGAGATCGCGCTAAGTCCATCCCTTCCCCTCACCCTACAGGGTGAGAGGCGCCCGAGGGACTGGGGCGCAGGCAGGCACCTGGGTACCCTGACCCCACACCACCAGGCCTTGACCCCAACCTCAGGCAGCTCTGAGACACCCTGCCACACAAGAAATGCTCACGAGCGTCCAGACTCCTGGTGTCCCAGTCCCCACCAGGGCTCTGCGACACTAGGGAAATCTGAACATGCTTCTCCAGCTTCCCTCTCCTCCCCCAACCCTGCTCATTAGGGGGACTGCCTCAAGGTTTCTTTGCCCTGCAATGACCCTTGGGCCAAGGGATGGGCCAGGCCCCTCAGCACCTATTCAGCCATTTCTCCACGGAAGGAAGGAGGTACCAGAAGATACCTTAATGTTATCCTGGGGCCCTCTTAACTCTCAAGGAAAGAGGCTGGTTTTGCATCACACTGCGTGGTGCCTGAGGGCAAAGAGTGGGAGACCCTGGGTCCTGTTGTCTGTTGTGTGGCTGAATGCTGGTGACCCTAGACAGAATCTCTAGCTGGAGTCCTCCCTCTTTTGGCAAGAGGGAGCTGAATGAGATCATTCGGGCCTGCAAAGTGCTTCCGGGTCTTCAGAGCAGAGTTCTCTGCCTGCCAGAATGTAGCAATCAAAATAAAACTGCGTGGAGGAAGACTGGCCTGTCCCTGTGGCTGACCACTGCTTTGTCCCCATCCTCTTATCCCAGCACAACTTCCCCACCCACCGTGGTAGAAAGAGCACTGGGCTAGGAGTTCCTGGCTGGACGCTGGCATCTACTGGCTTTTGGCCCAATTATCCGAGCTCTCTGAACCTCAGTTTCCTCATCCCTAAAGTGGGGGTACCGTAGCTGCTCTGCTCACCTCAGAGAACTGCCTTGGGACTCCATGAAACCATGTACCTGACTGAAGGCTTGTCGGCACATTGCCATATTGGTGTGAGCTGTTATCACTGTTCCTACCACCAGCCAGACCTGCTGTCAGTGACCTGCTCACTGTCACCCTTACCCCCTTTTCTCCCAGCCTGGCTGTGGCTCCCTTTGTCCTTGGCCTCCCTGAGGTCCCAGAGTCAGTGAAACCCAACTTCTAAAACTTGAGAAAGTAAAAGGGTTCCCTCCTTGTCTACTCTTCCATCATCACCTATAGAAGACGATACAGGGTGAGAGTCTGACTCAAGGTTTTTATTTTCCCCCCAAAAAAATCACAGATCTAGGGAAACAGCTTCTTGAAGGCAAGGATTATGTTTTTTTTATCTCTTTGCCTCCTTCAACACCCCACCTCCCCCATAGCACCTGAGAGAGAGCAAGGACTCAGTAATTGGGTGTAAAATACAAGAGCCAAGTGTTAAAATATCTCAGAAGAAAAACATTTGACTGGAAGTCGGGAGCCCTGTGTTCTGATCCCAGATCTGCCAGTGACTGTCTCAGGCTGTCCCTTCCCTTCTGGAAGCTTTAGTTTTCACTTCAGTAAGAGAAAGTTGAACTAGACGAGTTTTAAGACTATGAGTTCTAATGTTCTGTGGGGCAATCTGAGGGCTATTCCCAGCCCACAAATCCCTAAGTTCTCCTTGAACACAGGATACCAGCTTCACAAACCTGATCTGAAGAGTATGTTAATGTCCTTTCAATGAAGAACTGGATTTTATGAATGCAGTGGAATGAGGATATAAGAACTTGGGAAATGATAATTATAGTTTTAGTGTTTTCTTAAGATCTCCTAGTCTTCCTTATTTTCCTGGGAAAGCCAGGAATGTGTTCAGAGTTGCTGAGTTGGGGGGGCTGCTGCCTCCTGGCCAAAAGGCTAGGAAATCACTCCCCGCTAACATCCTTTGTGAGTAGCCAACGGCCAGGGACCCTGTCCTTAGCCATCTCCTCCCAGGGATCCTGCCTGATTGGGATCCCCCACCTAAGAAGACTGAAGGAGGGGACAGCCAGGAAAGATCCATCCCTGGGGAGAACGTTTTTAATATAAAAACAAAATGAGCTTCTCTGACAATAATTTTCCTCAACTGTGGCAGGCCTGGCTGATGTGCAGGAAAACCTTAGCTAATTGGCACTTGGGGAGGGCTGAGTAGGCCATGCCAGTGACCTCCCCTACTTACCCACCACCACTTCCTCCCCCCATGTCAGCACTTTCTGGCTCCCAGCTGCCGGTGCAGCACTGGCAAGAATCAGCTCCTCAGAGTTAATGGACAGTCACTAACCTTTATAACAAAGTGACAGCAGCAGAGGCAGCAGCAACCGTGGAGAGGGGCTTTATTTTCTGCAAGACTGGTCTGTGGGGGTGCTGGCCTGCTGCTGGGGATAGAACCATGCACCACCCGTCCTTTTACAGCTGTCTGGGTGGACACTCCAGCCCCAGAGCTGTCAGGGTTCAGGGCATCGCTGATCACCAGGCAGGCACATCTGGCTTCTCTCCCAGCAGGGAAAAGCGACCACTGGCTACTCTTGTGTTCCCCTCCCTCCTGCCCCCTCCCTCTGCAAGACTTCAAAGGGAAGAAAGGAGTCAACCCGGCACCTGCTTGGATGGTCTTGGTTAACTGGGGCTGGGGGAAGAGGAAGAGATGAAGTGTGTGTGTGTGTGTGTGTGTGTGTGTGTGTGTGTAAGAGAGAGGTGGAAACATTGAAATACACATATGCAGGCCCCTTCCCCTGGGTGGCACACACAAAATAATAAGAGAATATCTGGAGATATCTGCACATAATTCATTACATTTGGAGTCAAAGACCAATTACCTTTGGATTCAAAGACAAATTCATTTGTACATCCCAGAGGGACTTCCACCCCCACAGTACACCACTCCAGGGAGGAGGAAGTGGAAGCAGCAGCCTGCACTTAGGGAAGAAGAAACAGTTCAGTTCCTCAAACCTTGGGTATTCTCCAACCCCATTCCCTTCTCAGGGGCTTGGTAGGTATCCTGTCTGGAGCGCGGTCCCTTCTGCTACTAGCCAGGGGGCCATGAAAACTGATCTCCTCCCTGCTCTTTGCATACAGGTTCCCTCTTCTCTTGTCTCCTCTCTTATTCTCTCTTCTTTCTCCTTCCGCAGCTGCCACCACCCCCACCCCAAGCAAACCAAGCAGGGAGCGAGGGCCCCTGCTCTACCTCCCCATTATGTGTGCTGTCTTCTGCCATCAGATGCTCTATTTGCTGTAAGTGGTTGGGAATGAGCTGCTTCAGGAGAGAGACAGGTTGTTTCAGCGAGAATAAAGATTTAATTTCTGCCCGAAAATGGACTAATTTGAGTAGTGGTGCCACCACCTCAATCTTCCCAGCAATTTTCACCCTTGTCAGCCACATTCCCATCCCCCAGGCAGGGGGATTGTGCTCTGAGAGAGAGGCAGTCCAGCGCATGGGGCGCAGGTGGCAGTGGTTAGAAAACAGGGTAGACTTTTGTTCTCTGGAAGACAGCGCCTTAGAAGACTTGGGAGCTGAGACGTGTTCAGCTGCGTTTCCCCTTCCCTGGGTTCCCTTCTCGGCCCTCTTCTCTCCCTTCCTTGCTCTTCTCTTCTCCTCCCTCTCCATAGGTCCTTCAATAATTCTCATATCTCTCTCCAGCCCTGACCACTACCCAGGGCTTCAACTTCATACATTTAATTGCCACATGGAGTTTCTACCCTAGTATCTCAAAGACACTTCAAGACCAAAGGCATCCACTTCTCTTTCCCATCTTTCTCTTTCGTGTGTGTGTGTGTGTGTGTGTGTGTGTGTGTGTGTGTGTGTGATTTTTCCAGCTCAGTACTTGGTGAGCTTTTTCAATGTAAGTATTCTTTTTTCTTTCAGCTCAGGAAACACTTTCTGCTTCTGTTCTTTTTTTAATCCTTACCCGAGGATATTTTTTCCATTGATTTTTAGAGAGTGGAAGGGAGGGAGGGGAAGAGAGAGACACTGAGAGACAGAAAGGCAGAGAAACATCGATGTGAGAGAGACACATCAATTGGTTGCCTCCCGCATGCGCCTGGATTGGGGGGGGGGAGGGAGAGGGGGTGCGTTCAGGTATGTGCCCGAACCCACAACCCTTCGGTATGCGGGCAGGCACTAACACCACTGAGCACACTGGGCTCTGCTTCTGTTCTTTTAATTATTATTTTCCTACAGTCTTTCTGAAACTCCTACTAGATCAGTGGTTCTCAACCTGTGGGTCGCGACCCCTTTGGGGGTCAAACAACCCTTTCACAGGGGTCGCCTAAGAGCATCAGAAAACACACATATAATTACATATTGTTTTTGTGATTAATCACTATGCTTTAATTATGTTCAATTTGTAACAATGAAAATACATCCTGCATATCAGATATTTACATTACCATTCATAACAGTAGCAAAATTACAGTTATGAAGTAGCAACGAAAATAATTTTATGGTTGGGGGTCACCACAACATGAGGAACTGTGTTAAAGGGTCGCGGCATTAGGAAGGTTGAGAACCACTGCACTAGATTGATTTGGAACTCTCGGACTTTCATTCACATCTCTTAACTTTATTTCACCTACTTCATCTTTTTGCTCTATACCATGGGGAAGTGTAGTAACTTTTTCTTTTACGTTAAAAAGTCAGTCTTGCCCTGGCTGGGTGGCTCAGTTGGTTGGAGCATTGTCCCACGCACCAGAAAGGTTGCAAGTTCTATTCTGATCAGGGCACATGCCTAGGTCATGGGTCTGATCCACACGTAGGGGGGTATATGGTAGGCAACCTATCAATGTTTTTCTCTCTCTGTCTCCCCCTTCTTCTCTTATTAAAAATCAATAAAAACATGTCCTTGGGTGAAGATTAACAAAAAAGTTAGTCTTTAACTGTGTTTATTCTATTGCCAACTCTCTCCATTAAATTCTTTAAAATTTAGACAATTATTTTCAATTTTCCAAATTCTTTCATGTTCTTTCGTTGCTCCTTTT